CCCCCCCCCCGTAATTAGAGCCCACCCCTAAGGTCGCTTGAAAGTTATAAGCCCCCCCCCCCCCGAAATAGAGACCCACGGGCTTAATTAAATACCGTAAAGCCCATATTAAAAAATGCCAAAAAGCTGGTTTGAAAAACTGAAGCCCCCCCACTTAAATACAAGCCCATGCCCGTAATCAGAGCCCACCCCGTGGGTCGTTTGAAATATTTGTAGCCCTGGGCTTCTAATTCGATAATTACGGTATTTAAACTGTACTACGCAGTTGTATTAGTCATCGCAATAAAAGCGGGCCCGCGCTCAAGCTCTGACTCTGACTCAGACTCTGACCGCTCAAACTCTGACTCTGACTACTCAAAGTCTGACTCTGACTGTCCAAACTCTGACTCTGACTGAATAAACTAAGAATAACTTGAGAAACCTAAGAAACCTAAGAAAACTAAGAAACCTAAGAAACTTGAAAAAAAACCTAAGAAAAAAAAACTTAAAAAACCTAAGAAACCTAAGAAACCTAAGAAACCTAAGAAACCTAAGAATCCTAAGAAACTTAAGAATCCTAAGAAACCTAAGAAAACTAAGAAACCTAAGAATCCTAAGAAACCTAAGAAACCTAAGAAACCTAAGAAACCTAAGAAACCTATTAAGAAACCTAAGAAACCTTAGAGTCAGAGTCAGACTTTGAGCGGTCAGAGTCAGACTTTGAGTAGTCAGAGTCAGAGTTTGAGTGGTCAGAATCAGAGTCAGAGTCAGAGTTGGAGTCTAGGCCATAAAAGCGAAGACTTTGTTGTGTTTACAAATTAAGATGCGTAGAAGACTAATGTTTAGCTTTTGCTAACGTAGAAGCTTTTGCTACTTCATTATTTTTTAGGCGCCTTTGTGATGTGCAGGTCGGCTTGCCCTTTTTGCGGCGTCAAAATGTGGCCTTGTTGTCAGTTACGTAGCACTTTGTCTGATTATTTTCGTGAAATTGGGAACTACATGTATTGACGATCTTGAATTGTACCAACCACAGGACAATAAAGGCTGAGACATACATTAAGAAACTGTATACAGCAAAGTGACCAAAATAGAAGAAACGTCAAAGTATGATACAACCAACTTCGTCATTTTTTTTATAGGTTTCAGTTATAAGTTAGAACTTCACGAACAGAGAAAGAGCTTTATGCGAGTCTGTTAGGGATAAACAGCAGAGCCTGATGGCAGTAATTCGCCGCGGGTAATTGGTAGGCGGAGCTTACATTGTGATGTGTCAATCATCCACCTCGTGCAGGTAGTGTACGGTGTACACTGCTGCGATATAACCAACATGGGATGGGTGAATAATCCGCGTACATGCAGCCCATTGTGTGGACAGGTCGAGCGTATGTTTACTCTGTCAACTTCTTAGCGCATTTGGACCCATTGTCCACCGCTGTGGAGCCGGGGCGCGATGACAAAGCCGCTGACACAGCAGCCAGCGTCAATAAGCCCTGCATACCGGTGCTGTACACACTACACAATAGCGCCATCATTACAATATCTCGCTCACAACCCACCCAATTCGCAACACTAGCAAACACTGAAGTAGAACGTAACCGCGGGATGATTAGCTGCAGTGTAAAGCGGGCGTCCCAATCTCAGCCTGCACGGTGTTTACCCAGGGACACTGTTAACACTTAACACCGCTCGTTCCTGCGTATTGTGTGCGCCGGAAGCGGACAGCAAATCAGTGCGCTGAATGGGAATTGATTGGCTCGATTATATATCCATGGTATCGACTGTCCGGTTACCTATGGGCTGCTCATCCCGCGGAATTCTTGTGGGCCAGTTTGTTGCCGGGATGGATATTCTATCTTTATTAGTATGCTGCATATCTCGCGTATACCGGCAAATAACTTGAAAATTGGTTGATATTCTTAAGTTGTCTTATGCTTTCTTATGTCTTCCTATATACCGCATTTGGATGTCAGATTATTTATTATATTTCGCAGTGATTCACCGGTTATTAATACAAAATTCGTGTCGCATGAATTGTCGGAGTAAAAGCAGTAAATGTTCTGTTTTAACGTATGTGATGATTTCATGCGTCTTGGATGTGTTTGTGTTTGCTCACTGTTTGTTGATTTTATTATTCAATTTTCCAAACCGGGAACCGCCGAATTCTAGTCCTATTTTGTATGGCCATAATTATCTCTCCCGCCCAGATTTGTTGTTGTGTTATTCTGCAAGAAAGAGCGGCAAAAATGAGACTGCGATGCTGGTTTTTATTCCTCCATAATGGAGTGTTTATTTTGATTGATATGCAAATCTCGGCGGCGTACATGGGAATATTAGCAAAGGTCACGCGGTGCTTTATGTATAAACATGACGGTTGTCGGATCATCGTTTTGATTGTTGCTCTGAAGGTTTGTGCCACCACGGTTCTCCTGCGATCGCCACCGGTCTTAATTGTGTGTTGCCCAGCCGGTCATTCGTGTGAATGCCAGCGATGCCAGCCACACTGCCGGTGCAGGGCGGGCGACAGGGCCGTGGCGGAGAATGCCCGTCAAACCTTCTGGTGGCAGTCAAGACGTGATCCCGCCGTATACGCCACGTACTCGGTGAATTTGCCGCATGTCATTACAGCGGTACCTGTGGTCAGCTGATTATTACTACCGTACACCGATTATATTAGAAATGGAAAATGAGCGCTTTATTGGCTGTCTCGTCATACACACTTGCCCAACCGTACAAGCCGGTCCGGATGATGAGCACGATAGAGAACAGCGAACAATTTACATTTATGGGTCACGCCCGACAGCATACTACGCCACGCCACACCCTGTTTATGCGTTTGGCTGGCTGTTGGCTTGGTGCACGCCATATATTGTAATGAGTATAATCGTAACTGCCTGGCGGAAGGTAGCTAGAAAACGGTCGATTCAGTAAGGGACAATATAATCTTTACATGTAATATAATCTGTACATGACAATATAATCTGTACTGTACATGGAGCGCATTTACGCATGCAGTGTGGTAAACGTAGTGTAGAGGCCAGGGTGCTAAGCGTTAACATCGCGCTCAGTATGCTAACGCTTAGCACCCTGGCCTCTATAACAAGCCGGTCCGAATACGTGCTCATCATTCGGACCGGCTTGTACATGGGCCTGCCATGATGCTTTATTTTGCTTTGGTACAAAAGTTCAGCACTGTAATAAGTATTATAGTACGAGTACAAATTATGTACCGAAAAGAACAGCATTTATAACAGAAACACTTTCTCTATGCTATCCTGATACCCATCATACAAAACGCGTTTCCCCGTTTCCCGCGTTTCCCTGTTATTTGCATAGATACTCGCTGTTTAAAAAAACATAGTATCTGGCCAGTGGAAGTCTCACTGACAGTGGCTGCGTCTCTTCTGTAGAACAATGTTATATAGCCCATGCACCAAATCGGTACTGTAGAGAATGCAATTTTTTTTTAACACGAAGAGTAGTAAATCCGACGAGGAAGACCGAAAACAATCGCAAAAACAGACGCGACAAAACCGCGTGGTAACTTGCCAAACACTTTTGACGGCTCATAGGAACTGTTTTGCACCCATATCGACATCGTAAGTAAGTAAAGGCAGAATCCGGTGTGACTACTAATCGATTACTGTTAGTTAAAACATTAGTATGGTTAGCTGATTACGTTTGTGACGGGAAATATAAAATAGGGAATGTTAATTAACTGTCGAACACCCTTTGTACAATACTTTGTCCAATAACGACTTCAGTGTGTGCAGTACACATGACCATAAGCATAAGCGGCATACTTGACAGTAGTGACTAGTGTTCTTCAAATTGACAATAAATTACTTTGTTAAAACACTCAGTTCAGCAACACCCATGGCATGGTCTGTTGAATCATAAACATAATATTATGTAAAGATAATTCTGTTTTGCGCTGTACAGATACACACAGTGGGCATGTTGCTGTTAGAACTCTGAAAAAAAAATCACAAGTCGTCATATAGCCATTTAAATTGTAACTTGGCAGCTTGGCTTTAATCGCACAATTTCCCCCGCACAATTTCCCCACAAATTATTACCGGCTAATGAGATATTATCTGCACATGCTAACTCATAGCCGTAATGCACTTGCTTACTACAATTGTCCATTGAAAATAAATTAAAATTCGTAAAATTATTACCATACTCGAATGAATCCTTATGGGTCAGGCAGTTTACCTGTTTATTTGAGCCGTGGTGACATTTACGCAATTGATTTGCGATTTGTCCATAAGGAATAAGCGTGATTAAACCATATTACTGAATAAGCGGTTATGTAACTGGTAATGTGTTGTACCATGTACATACGTACAGAGTATCTTCGGGCATTCGATTTCCGCCTGCTGACACATGCAGAATTTCATATTATCACAAAATTAGTAAAGAATCGTCTTCAGTTTACAGTATTACGTGCACGTGCCCGCTGTTGAACAACTGCGAACCGTGGTGAGGTCCACTTTCGTTTTGGGAATCCGATCAGATGACACGATTAATCCGATACTACTACTTGCCATAAACACTGTGACCACCCTGATCAGTACTCGTTTTCGGTAAAGTGCTGCCTGCTGTGTTCGGAAGAGGCAAAGCAAAATACACTGCCGTGCAAGCCGCACGCACACGGCGTCGACAGCGACCACTGCTTGAAGATCCCAGCGACGAACAGGGTGACCAGCTTCCGGATCCGCAATACCTGCACGGTGCGGTATGTGCATGTCGGCGATGTCGCTATAATCCGTACGGCGGGTGCCGGGTAGAAGACATTTCTACTAGCTAATAATAATACGACAGCCGTTCAGCACTGACTGCCTTTACCGTTAGCGGTTAGCAGGAATAATTATGGCAGTGATGCACGTTCCACTCTCATTCCTAGGCGGCAGCTGACAGCGATGCCCAAACAAAATCGCGGCGATTCGTGTTATTGCCCGACCGATGTCGTCTAGGCAACGCCTAACACTAATATTACTGATAACGTTTACCAAAAAAGGGACTGCTACAGTGCTCCATGTTTTTCTCGACAATTATCGGGACTGTTCTTCCGGGAAAGGTTTTCGCCACCCTGCGAATCAGCTGTTATCGGCTGGGCGATTACCGGGCACAGCATTACTGCGCTTTTCGCAATGGCGGTAACCAAGTATGTGGTTCTACTGTGGACAGTCACAGTCATTCAGCTGTCTGGATGTTGCAGCCCATCCCAAACAGAAAGATGTAAGTGCGAAACGGGTACCCCGATTAAGGAAAATGGTCCGGTACATGGTGTCAAAAATGGTGTACATACCTAAAAACTTTCCGTTTCGCGCATCTCCGAATCACTTTTTTGTAATACTTTATGTCATTCAAAAGCTAAATGATCTGTATATCTGTAGATAGTTCTGAAAACCGTTGGCGCGCGCAACATCCGGTTGCCGAGATATGGCGAACTAAAAGGGGCAACAGTTTAAATGTATTGTTGTGTACCGAAAGTCTGGTTATTACCCGATCTTCGTGAAACTTTGCTGTAAAAGACACATGGCCATAAAGTCGAAAGTGAGCCAGCATTTTTTCCGATTTGAAAATGAATTTCAAAAATTTTATTATTCATTTTAAAATCGGAAAAAAATGCTATGGATCTGAAATTGGTCCACTTGCGACTTTGTAGCCATGTACCTTTTACAGCAAAGTTTCAAGAAGATCGGGTAATGACCAGACTTTTGGTAAATAACAATGCATTTAAACTTTTCGCTCATTTTAGAACACCATGTCCCGGCAACCGGATGTTGCGCGCGCCAAACGGTTTTCAGAACAATGTATACAAATCATTTAGCTTTAGAATGACACAAAGTTTTACAGAAAAGTGATTCGGAGTGCGCGAAAGCGAACGTTTTAAGGTATGTACACCATTTTTAACACCATGTACCGGGCCATTTTTCTTAAATTCGTCATTTGATCTCTGTTACCTCGTAACAATATATTTGACGGTTAATGACCTATTGGATTACCCAACATAATATTGTGATTTCAAAACAGTACTGTATTTACACGATATTAAAGGACAGAGAAATCCCCAGGACCGCCCGCACTAGCTGTCGGTTCATTTGACATCAATGGAGCCGACGTCTAGTGCGGACGTTCCAGGGCATTTCTCTGTCCCTTAATATCGTGTAAATACAGTATGTATGTGGCGCAAAACTCTCCCATTACCGCTACCCCACAATGATCTTTCCCGTGGCACTTACCGGAAGCGCGTCCGATGCAAATACTTCGGGTAGCAATCGTATCACCCGCTACCTAGTATGTAATAGCACCATGTTGTGCTTAGTGAGTGTAAACTTGTGACTCTAGAGACTTGTAAATCGCTGATTTGTAATATAAGTCGCCTCGATAGACACTGTTAGACGATAAACTCGCATTCCGTCGACCGAACACAGCAAATTTTGAATACTGGCGGGAGAACGCAAAGCCAAAATGAACGACGTAACCAACCGCTAGCTACAGCAAATCTCAGTGGTCAGCGACTAGCGAGTATGGACAAGCTGTTGTCCGTCCGTCGGTCACCGCCACCAAATGCACAAACGTATGCAGCATGGTGCGTAATCCTTATTAACGCACGCACTTTAAGTTGCAGACGCAGTTAACGCACATACACGGTGGCCGTATATAGGTGCGCATACCGCAATCAATTCGCGGTGTCCGTCCGTCGGTCACCACCACCCCTTCCATGGCCGCACGGTGGCCGTGTGCAACAAAAGTATATATTATGTACTCGTACTGTCGTTAAGAGTGTCGTACATGTGCAAAGGAACTGTAGGGATCACAGCAACTGTAGGGTGATAATGTAGGAATCCCTGGCAGCCCCGTTTACTAAGGCACTTGCCACCCGTTTCACCACGACTCCACGAGTACAGTACGAGTACCCTTATGGCTTACTAAAAGTTAACTTTTCCACAAGCGCTTAAATGAAATGACCGTCACAATGTGCAAACTTCAAACTTCGTACTCGCAGAGTTAAAACTTCAATCTGACCGAATAAAAAAATCAGAAATCAAAAACCCTGCTCTAGACCTGAAGAAAACATTGAAGAACACAAGAAAACACAGGAAAACATTAGAAAACATGAGAAATTTAAGAAAGCAGGGACACAAGTACAGAGGGTTATTCAGCCAAGTGTGGACACTTTTTGGAAAATTTCTCCTTAGCCGTCGCGGGCTCATTTTACTTTTTTAAAAATTTTATCAGGTAGCCACAACACCCAGTCATACTTTAAATTCAACCGAGTCACGATTTCCTCATCCTGTAGCTCAGGAAAAAATTAAGTTTGTCCCCCCCCCCATGTTGGCAACAGTTGACCAGTTCAACTATAGGAAATGCATTCCCTTTATTCAAAATTTATCTAAAATTTGAATTTTCGCCATAACCCGTTGAAAACCTGTCGGGGGTTTCGAACAGTCCTTTTCTAGAGGAATTACTAGTACTTCTCGATTGGGAAGCTGCATCCTTGTTTACTCAGCAGTGCTCCCGGGAGCACGTCTCGGGTTCTGGACGACTTCTTCTTCCCTGCCAGGCTTGATCCGTGGAGCGTCTTTCTCGACCAATGAACATTGTAAACGGTAGAGAAAGACTTGTTTTACAACTTCAGTTTATGGAGGGGCGGAAAGGATAGCTATAGTTTCGTGCATAAGAGTTCGGGCAACGGGCATGGCTCCTGTGGGTCTCTTCCTGTTTTCGCGTTTTTTCCAACCGTCCTACCGCAAGAACGCCCAAGAATATAAAATCGTTTTTGCTATAAAAAATATCCGGATCGTCGTTTTTCACAATTAAAACCATGCAGATTTGAAAAACACACGATCCTTTTAAGGCCAGGTGATCGAAAGCCAAATTTTGACTGGTCAAGGGGTGGAAGTCGGAGTCTTTTGGTTAACAGACAATATCGCAAGCATTTTGCGCTGGATTTTCACCAAAATTTGCAGAAAGCATTCAGATTAGTTAGTCGTTGTACTGAGATGCTTATGGCATCATTTCTCTTAAAACGAAATTTATAAGGAATTTTTTTTTCGAAGTGTCCACACTTGGCTGAATGACCCTCTGAAAGTGAAGTAACCAGTGCAGTTTGTCACACGATTGCGAGAGCCGAAATAAACGGTGGCCGAAGTGATAGCATGTGGCCGAAATGTAACAGAGGAAGTAATCGGATACGAATAAGAAAAGATCCGAGACAGTTTGGTTTCTAACAGTGACACATTGAAGCTTAACCACCAAAAGCAGTCTTGCCGGCGGACATCTGGCAGTAACCACTGGACAATTTATTGCAGTGAATGAAATCCTAGAGGAGGGACTGCGGCAGCAACGTCAGGACGACCTGGTGATACTGCCGTTTGACCGCGGCTGGGGAGGAGCGAGCGAGCCGTGGCCGGTCTACAATCAAGCCGGGCTGGAGCGTCCACACCTGGGCGATCATGTGACGTTCACCTGTCAGCTGCCGCATGGTAAAGACGGGCACGAAGTATCCTGGCGACACCACAACCGTGTCGTCTTCGAACGCGGCCAGCCGGTGGGGCCGGTGGAGGACGGGCACGAGTACAGCTTCAGCCAGCAGGACAACGTCCTGCTCTTCCGCATCCATAACGTCTCCTTCCTGGCCAGAGGCGAGGTGACGTGTCGGGACACCGTCACCGGCATCCCCCTCCAACGCTACAGGCTCCTGCCGTTAGTCACACGCGCCAACCAGGTTGCTTACAGTTCTCAGGATTAGACAAGTACATTCCTATCATTGCAGCAAATATTGCGACGGCTGGTAATCAAAGAAGAGCATCCTACTGCTTTTCTTAAAGAAAATGGCTCGGTACATAAATGCCAAAAATGGGATACATAGACTAAAACTTTCGCTTGCGCGGTACCGACTGTCGACCTCTGCGAGAACTAAATGTGCTCCGGTAATGTTGAAGATTTCTGGCACTTATTCTTTAGGTGTTCGCTACACCGCTGCCCAGTCAGCGGCTGACCGCCGGCGCCACCCTGACGATATCCTGCGCGCTGCGTCGGCCGCTGTCACCGGAAGTGATCCAGAATGATTTCCCGCTGAACCATGTGATGGTGCGCCATAACGGCCGGCTCGTGAGCACGCGGCCGGCGGAGGCGCTTTACTCCCTGCCCCCCTTCGAGCCGCCGTCCCCGGAGGACGTGGAGGCGTTTACCGCGGCCCGGTTCCTGAATCGTCCTGGCTTCGACAAGCGGATTTTCGTGGATAAACACATACCCAATATCACCGCCCTCACCGGCAACGGACCGGCGGAATGCTGGTACCGGCCGCATGTCGGTCTCCATGAATGGATTGTGCAGAGGGCGCTGATCGTGGTGCAGTGACACAGTTGGTGCCGTCAGCCAGTGATTACGAATTCATGCAATTAGCCATTTACTCGCACATCCTGCCCAGCTCTCGCATACTGATCCTCTTAAATTAATTTAAATTGATGCATTTCCGGACTCGAGAGTGCTTGTTCAGTTTACCAAGGATTTCGTCTATTATTCTGTTATTGATTTCAGTTTAATTTATTGTTAATAATTATACAGTATATGAACAGTACCCAATTAACACCAAACTAATAAAATAAATTATGCAGGTGGTCATAATGCACGCGATTTCTTAGATACCGATACCATTAATTCACAAGTATACCGTACCGTACACTACCGTACTGTGACCACCATTAATTTCACGCGTGACCTTTTACAAGCGCGCAGCTAGGGTAGGGAATTTGGTTGCGTTACGCAAGGATGTTTTCATCTTCTAAGAATGGTATATTTTCCTGATTTAATACAATCTGTTGTGGTATGCAGCGTGTAGGGCAAAAGCGAGGCCACTACCGAAGAATAATCGCCCCATACACCGCTTATAACATTTGTGTACCGGAATGATTTATATAACACATTATTTTGGCGTGAAAATCATTTATGTTTGCAACACGGTTTATGCTAGCTATAGTTGTGTGAAAGTTCTAAAAGCTAGTTTAAAGAGGTTTACCTAAAGTAATAATATTAGGCATTATACATTGCTCACAAAATTCATTTCAAAATTGGCAAAAAAACATCGCCCAGTTCGAGTACGGTGCTCGAATAACAATATATATCTATATAACTGTTTCATGCATGTTTTGGCGCAAAATGTGAGGACGGTTTACCGGCAGCGTATAAAAACCTTTTGCTTATACATTTTTTACAGTGTTTCATTGCATTGTGTGGCTCAATGATTTGTATAGATTAGCGTGAAAAACGCTTATGGGGAGTTGGCGAGTTATGGCTGTAAGAAAATTCCAAAACGTTTAAACGCCTTCAAATACAAATTTAATCGCCCCAGTGAAATTTAAACGCATTACCAAAGGTAGACCGAGCCCGTCACCGAGGTTTCCCTGCAAACGCTGCGTTGCCGTTTACGATCAAACTTTTGCAATTTCGCGCACATAAATCCGTTGCACGCTGAAGCGAAAAAACTATAAAAATTTTAAGATACCGATGAGGTTGGGGGGAGACGCTAAACTAGAGATGGCAACGGCCGGCTAAACGGCTGACCTTTCGGCTGACGGCCGGCTGAAATCCTTAGCCGGCTAACTTAACGCGGCTGGAAGTCCCAGCCGGCTAAGGCGGCTGACCAATTTTTCCAGCCGGGCTTAGCCGGCGATAGCCGGCTAAGCCGTTTAAGCCATTTACCGTATAACAATTAATAATAATGTTCTAGCTGAAATTCCTGTGTCGGGGACCGGTGCGGAAAAAACTGTTGAGGCTTCGACCATAGAACCCGGGTCGCTGGTGGTAGGACATCATCTTCAGTGTCCGCGGTCTGATAATCATACCGTGCTGCATTTTCTGCAATTTCTTGCACTAACGCGATGCCTCCGAATGGCATAGTTATAGTTGTTTATGGCACTGATTAAAAAACTTAAAACTGCAGCCACAAACCCGAATATTTTGCGATTTATCGAAATTACTATCGCCTAATCTGCAAAGCCACAATAATACTGGCAGTGAGCACTGTGCATTCGCGAGACGGGAATTCATGCCCAACCAGCTTATTTATGGTTTAACAGTTTAACCGAGCTACGGCGAAACGTACAACAGAATCACAGCGTGCGGCAATGCGCCATGCGCTAACCGCACTGCGTTTTTTCGAGGGCGCCAATCGCTTGACATTGCAGCCGCAAAAGCCGCTAAGCCGAAGTGGCCGCCGGCTAAGCCTCAGCCGGCTGGAATCCTTAGCCGGCGTAGGCAGCCGGCCTGTCGTCGGCTACGGCTCCCAAATGTGCTCAGCCGGCT